CTATACGTAACGAAGAAAGTTACACATTCAAACCTTTGTCCTGTATCATTTCCTAGCAGACCATTGATTTCTAAATGTACGAATTTAAATAAGAACCATTTTTCCGTTTATATAAAGTCAAATAACTTTATCTATTTTGTCCACATTGAATACTTTATTAGTTCCTCTCGTTTTCTATCGTCCTGCATCGTTGTACAAACGCCGATTTTCATGTTCCGTAACGGAGACTCAAAAGATTCGAACCGTTCCCTTCACGACCGCTGCAGCCTTCACCCGAGCCAAAAGATCAATTCGGATCGTCGGCTTCGGCGTGCTTCCTCCTGACGCCTTGAGACGAAGTGTCGGAGGTCCAAAGCAATAGTAACTGGGTGCCGCTCACCGACTAACACGTCTTCGTCCATCAGTTCTTCGCACTTAAATCCTCCCCTCCGTAGTCAAGTCTATGAAGTGTGCCAACCAGCGATAGCGGTAACGACTGCTGACTGCCGAATAAGTCTCTGGCATCACTCAGTTAGCCGACCGCTATCGCCAATCCACTAGGAGACTCGATGGCAAGCTGTACGCCGAATCGTGCGCCATGTCGGAACGGTTTGCCGTTTCTGTCTATTAGTATAATACAATCAAAAAGGACAAAATAACAGGAGGGTAGCACCCCACAGACGCGTTAGAGCCGTTCGAAGATGCTAAGGTATTTTGAGAAGGGTGCATCGAAAAAATACAAAGAGGTACGCCGCAGTGCATAGGTTTAAGTATGTAGGCTATGATGTCTATAGAGTCAACGGTGCGTCAGTCGTATGGTGCTTCGCAGGTATAACGTTGATAGCGTTGAACTGGGTAACGATGGGGCTAGCGTAAGACGCGATTCTATCGAGAATCCACTGATGATCTAACTAGCGTTCGTAGTGGCGACACCATTGGCAACTTGGGCCCTATATAGAAAAGCACAGATGTACGACGTTAATATATGTACGCATAGCAAACCGTATTCAACAAGTGCTTTGTACTTTTGGACCTATTGCGCAGGCCGCAGTCACCCAGATGGGTATCTCGATCATATCGAGCACCCCAACCCACTGCTTTGTTGCTTATCTGTGGCGGCAAGACACCAATTATAGTGTCGTTACAGACCATTACGTAACAGAGCAGACATCCACAGCGAGCAAAAGCGGGCTTTTCAAAAAGAAGCCACATATACTCTACACCATGGAGAAATTTATGTATCAATCAAATCGTGTTATCGTTGTGGTGGTGTCATAACAGAGAATTGTTGGCGTTTCTATCCTGATAACCTGTCATTCATAATCGCTTGTCGGTGTCGAGGTTTCCGGGAGTGCGATGACTGAACTGTTGAGGCGGATCCGCGCAGACTGGCGGACGAAAGCCATTTCAGCCACCGAAAAACCAATTTTACGAGGAAAACGGTATGCACCGTACTTTCCCATACATTGTATGTAGACAGAAAGCTGTATTACCTTAGCTCAGTCGTAATAGCAACTGGGTCAGTCGTAGTACTGTTGGCAACTGCCGCAATCCTGTTGGTCAGTTCCACCGGGTGGAGGTCACCCTCACTTCTGTATGTCTACATATAAACGTAACTGAATGCAGAGTGTAGACGATAAGGATGCCTAACAACAGGCAGAAGAACGTGATCAGAGACACAGCGAATAGCGGGGGCCTCGTCGTTGCACGCAATGCGTACCTATGGCTGTAGAAGTGGATGGAAGACGAGTTAACGGTTAAATGTTATGAGGCTAACACATAAGTGTACATATAAACAGCTTAACGAAATGATGCTTCAGCCAGTAATATGGCTGCGTACCGCCAATCAATAGAATAATAAATGCGCTTAAATGTCCTTCTAGGCACAAAATAGTAGTACCTAAATTGGCGGTCCACAATACAAACTACCGTGATTTAGTTAAGTGCATTCATAGAACAATAGGTTAAAGAAAGGAAGAAAGACAGGGAGAGAGAAAGAGAGAGAGAGAGAGAGAGAGAGAGAGAGATGTGATGACTCAAGTAACAGCTAATAGTTTTCGCAATTGGTGTGCCATCCATCTGCTGTATCTGCTCGATGCCTACAACAACTGGCGATGATAAAGACAACAATTGTCGCATTGAGATTCATGGGCGTTAGTTAACTACGAACCGAGTTACACTGGAGGCCTTCATCGCGAGTGTGTTCGCGTTGTGTCCTTATGTCGTCCCCAATGTCCTTTCAAGGCCATCTGAGGATCTAGATGGCCAATGCTTTCCTTCGCTGCGTTAAGTGAACCGGACATGCTCGCACTGGGTTCAGCAGGCCAAGCCAGTGAAGGGACCCAGCAAACAAGTACACAGCGTTACTGAGATAAGCCAATGGAGACATTGCTTTTACGAGAATACGCATTGCAAAAATACTGCGAACAAGAAATAAGCTTCCCGATCAACCTAAGAAATAAATGGGATTGTAGGGATAACCGAATATATGCCGCTGCTGACGCTAGTGTTGTTGGCAGTTGCCAGCAACAATCGCCACGGTGGTGGAATTTATACCAGTGTAGTTAGACTGAGTGGAAAAAAGCATGATTCATCTTCGACTACGATGAGACCGAAGCTGTGCTCGCCTAGCAGGGAAAAAGAAAGAGATAGTAAACGAACCAAGGAATCGAAGTAAGGCAAGAGAACGAGAACACCGAGTAGGAAAGAAGTGAGCATGAGCGCTTACTAGGCCTTGCAGGAACCCAGCGGCGAATCTAGCCGGCAGTGTGCAGATTCAATCCACACGACCATAGCTACCAATAAATGGTGGCAGAGAGAAAAACTTGCACGAAGCGCCACGCTTCAAGTGTGCTGGCTCCATCGGTAAGTACAGTTAGACTAAATATATGTACAAGTACTTCGCTGTCCTACCCCTGCACTGAGCAGAGTCTCTGTTATCCCTCCTTCTACCATTCAACCCTGCCCTTTCATCCAGCACCGTTCCACTATGCAACTGTACTATGCATTGTGTGTGGTGCACGATAGCAGCGGCGTGTCACAAAAACGCAGCGTGTCATTGGACACTGGGAAGTAACTGAACAGGATGGCGGGAGATCTATTAGTCGCTAGGCTACCGCTAAACGAAATAGGGACGCAGGCTATTTGGGAAAATGGAATCACATGGGGATTTCACAGACTTTGGTAAACACTTTGGAAGGTAGTAACCGTAGGTTCTTGCTGGTAGCTCTCCCAAGGCTATTTGCCTCTGCCAGACAAACTAATGCTCTTATATGGGGGTGTTCTCCCAACTTGCAGAACTCAGACATTGCCCACAGCCAACAGCGACGCCACCGCCGACATTGAGAGTCCAAAGCGTGCTCTTACAGCTCAATCTATCTGCCCGCGCACGCCTATCAACAATGAGAAGTGCTTGTTTGCAACTGTATCTATGATAGTGGCTATTGACGTAAAACTTCCATACGCTTGAATCTCTGGCAAGGACCAGCACAAAAGGAAGAAGATCAAAGTTTTTCCTCGTTTTGCTTGGACAGACGACGCCTGTCTGAGCGCTACATGGCTGTTTGTGATACTGAAATAAAGTGGTGATATCTAAATACAAGGCACGTTCTCGCTCAACTTGAATATACATATTGTAGCAAACGACATTTTGCCGATGTTCCCTGTCGCCTGGTCCTTCCACGTCTTAAGCTCCCGTTACGCTATTCCGCCTCATCTACATAGACACATACTCGTACACACAAACACGCTTTAGTCCAACTACGCTTACTCAGCCGTTGTAGCCTTCAAATTTATGGAACTATATAGGAGCTACACTGCCTAAGAATCTATTGGCGTTGCAGCAGAGATTGCTGTAGGTGGCAAAATATAGCAGTCGTATCACGGTCTAGTATATATTAAAGCTTAGCCCGGCGCGCACCGCGTGAGGCTGCAGTCTTACGCCGTACAGGCGATGCTCCTACCATACCTCCATTCTCGTGGGCCCCTAGTGATTTCTCATTATGTAGACATTATATAAACCTTTTTGTGCCTGGGAATAAATCAAGCTGATCAGTAACTCAGAAAGCGGGAAGGGATTCCCTCGATAAGCATGCTACAGAAGATAGCGCCATCACGCTCGTGCACACACACACGCGTGTACACAGACAATTTGCTAACCCAGACAACATTCAGCCGGTATCTTTTTAGCCGGAGTACTAACGATAAACAACTGTATAGGTTTCGCCATTGTGCAAACTGGTTATTCGGATGAGCTCATGCTCATGCGCGTAAAACTCAACTACGTATTGCGTCGTCATTGCGACTTCCCCTGACGCACTACGGCTCAGTTCTAACCAATTCCGAGGGCGTACCGAACCTACTGTAAGGAGTATCGGTGATCACTCTAATTAGGTGGATCATGGTCGCAACAGCAGCAGGGGTGGCATCAATAAGCTTCACAAAAGTGATTACATGATTGTTCTTTGCACCTTCAATAGCTGGAGATCTTCCAAGTAGCGGATGAAGCACTGTTTCTGTCCTTCGCTAACACATGTATCCTTCTATTTTTTTTTTTTAGTAGATGGTTGCAACAGCCACTGAGGAAGCAGCGGGTCACGCAAGCTACTTGCAAACATAGAATAGCTGAGTAATTGTAAACACACCCATCCACTAAACAATCTTGCAACGGTCGACCGATATTAGTTGGTTGCTGTTTCACTTCTTCTTAAATAGTCCTCACAGACAGTCAGAACGATAGCAGTTTCGATACATACATATATGCATCCATGTTGTGAGACTTTGTGGCTTACAAGCAGCGGTAATGGCGGTGACCGCGCCGACGCATGGCGTAGTCACCGCCATGGTGAACTATTGTTGCAGAAAGTTTGTGCAATTACTCGGTCGGCCACGAGGAGTCGCATGCCAAGAAACTGCCGGCTAAAGGACTAGTTGTCCCTAACAGCGACCACCGTGGCGCCAAAACCTAACCCTCCTTTAACCCCTTTCATTGTAATTCACTCCGGCGGGGCTTCTTTTTTCAGCGACCTTCACAGAAATCAGCCGAGGGCACGTTGAAAGGCGTCTACGAGTCGGGCTTAGCCGTAGCTCTATAGCTAGAGTTGATTGGCGCATTGCCAAAAGGACGACAGCTGCGGCTGTAGTGACCTCGGCAGAATGGGGATTTCGTAACCGTTCAACAGTCAGCGACACAGAACGATACAACCCGGAGACTATCATTGGTAGAGGATGTCGACCAGTTGCCATTGGTTCGTAGTGCCAGTCAGCGAAAAGGATACTCCTAGGCCGCAGGATGTAAGTGAGCAAGCAAACGATATACTTTAAAATAGGTAAATAATTCTATTCTCCCGGTGATCCTAAAACATTTTCAGCGAGCTTTAATCTTCTTTGTGTAAAATGCTGCAACGCTGATGCAGTTTGCCACAATCGTAAAATTGGAAGAAAATCTTTTTTTAAGTGTCGAACTTATAAAGTGGGTAGTGTATTTGAATGATGTTGATATTGGTGTTTCTGGTATTGCTAACGTAAGCTTCATCCGCTAGTCAAAATAAGCCAGATTATAATCCTTTTTCCCTTATAGCTATTTTTTTTTTCATTTATGATACTTGTCTTTCAATTTCGAAAACGCTTCCTCCTAGCAAAAACCTTGAAAAGCAGACTTGTTTGTTTGGGATGGACCAAGCACAGTCGAACGAGAGACGCGCGTCGCGCTGTTTTTATTACCGCCCTTCTATTGGTTGCAACGTCTACAAAAACGTATCAAGCATGCAAAGCTATCGCTATACAGACGGTAAAAGAAATGAATCAAATAACAACTGTATTTGGTAGATGGGAATCTATATATATCAGCAATATAGATCAACTGTACATCATTTCTGATTAGGAATTAGTTTCAACGATGATTGAAAGATGTCTTATGCTCTACCGTTTTTTTTTGATAACCAAGGGCGACTGCAAAAATTAAACATCGTAAAGTTCATATAAAAATTTACTAATTTATTTTAAAAGTGAGCATCCTTTTGATAGCGCCGAAAGTGATAATTCATCTTTGCCGTACTTCTTCTGAATTAATTAACTTGTTATCCTTTGCATCTTCACCTGAATCGTGACGATCCGACTACCGGATCTTGCAATGTCACATGATTAACTAGCAGTAACGATTAACAGTTAGTCTTCTACGAGAGGTAATTGTTAAAGCGTTTGCGCCATCTCCCGCCCAGGGTTCGACCCGGAACCCCTTCGGCCAAGGGTGACATTGTCGACCACTGGACGACTGCGGCGATCAATGTATGACAACAATTGAGTTGCGCTTGTTCAATGTGAACCGACTACCGGCTGCTGTCTGCTTTTTACCAATGCAGTAGCCCCTGGCGGTTGGGTCACTTTGTTAGTACGCAGGACAGACGACCGCACCCCACGGGATACCCTATCGTACTTACGAGCGCATGTTATTATGCCCCCAGTATCAGTTACCCCAAAGACCTTTGCTCGGTTCTCCGATCCCCACGTTGGGATCCATGCAAACACTCGGCGTACAGACAGTCATTAGTGGCAGACGGAGGTGATCGTTGCGCGCAATCATCTGACCTAGGTGTGTTAGTGGGCGCGGCTCTAAGTGCTTTAAACGTCAGAAAAGAACGTACGATGCTACCGTTACCTCCTACTACGGACGGTCCGTTTAGCTGTAGAACCGCGGCGGCTGCTGCTGCTGCAGCTACCGTAGTGCCTTATTTTTGCCCTGGAACGGCAAGAGCCACGATGTCCAGAGATGCCCTTCTATCGCGTGGCTAGTTGGGTGCTTACCTAATTGCTGCGGCCAAGCCAGTGAAACCAGTACTCGCGCATGAATCTTGCTGAAGGAGTCTACGGTATCAACATCTCTTGCGCAGGCGTCAAGGTATTCATTTAACTCGTTTGAGCTCATCATTTTCGGCTTCCCCAGCATCTTACGTGAGTCTGCTATTCTATGTATACCGTATGTCTTCTACCGCGGTCATTAAAACCGCTACCACTCTACGTAAGCACAATTACGTATGCATGTATATATCTCTGTATATAGATACGCAATGCGACGCAATTCGGCAACGTATGTAACATGGGACAAAGTAGAGAGACGCCGAAACAGTACTTAGCTACAGATGATGCACGCAGACCAACTGGTGAGAGCTCTGGCTAAAGGGATTAACGGATGGTCTCGCGATGGGTGGTCACGGCCGATGATGGCCAGTGGAGTAGGCCAAACTGGCAAACCATCAGCTGCAATGTAAGTAGCATGGGGCGGTGAAATAGTTCTAAGAGAGCTTATCCCTAATGAGTCTGACCTGCGCAGACTGGCAGGTCAGAAACTGTTGTGTTATGTTCTGCTGCTTTTGGAAGACTAACAGCAAACCTACTCCGATTACGAACGGTATAAGCCGGTTAGTCTAGAGCCTTCGATCGCTGCGTGTGTGCATTCATACTATATAGTAAAAACATTGCAGAAGATAAATATATACAGCTACAACTGTAGGGGTGCGACGTCACGGAAGGGCCGAAGATGCGAACGCAAACCCCTGGCGAAAGGTTAGGAAAACAAGAAAACGTCGTTGCGTAATCGTCCATTCCAAATAGGAGGAAGTAAGTGACTGGCGTGATATGAAGATGATGTGTGTGCACTATTAAAGACGTATATACGATTCTTATGTAAAATGCCCCTCGTTTCCCGCTTTGGCTTAAATGTCTCTATTAGGGTTTGATCACCATCGTGACAGAGTGAGTGCGTTGATAAAGATGATATGGGATTTTGCCAATAAATGCCAGAAGTGCTCGACTAAGGACGAGAAAAGAAGGCGCAGACACTGCCGTTATAATGTGTTAGCTTAATGCGTTACCCTTTACACGCTATTTCGTGTTTAGGAAATGGAAACGAAACTGTCTTCTGTTTAGGTCGAAAGTTATAGAAGCCTGCACGAATACCTCCAAACGGTAATATTAATTGTTTTCAGAGGTCACCAGTAGATGTCGCTGGTATAGTTCTAGTAGGTAGATCTCATTGTATCACCTATTTTTGCGAGTACTTCTCCATCTTTAACGACTGCCGCAAACAACTTCATTTCATTCAGCGCCGTCACTGTTCATGGAGTGAACCGTTTTACTACAAGAAAATTCGCTCGGCGCTGGCGAGAGCACCATCTATTCATCCTGTAATATGCATCGTAGCAGAATGACATCGTAGTATTTCAGCTGACCGCTGCGGAGCGTAGGCGGGAACGAAGAAAAAGTAACGGCTTTTACTCCATCGGCTGTGAAAAGGCAAACAGACAACCTAGCATCACTCAAGTTAAAGCTTCAAGTTTTTAATGTTGACCTTGACAGACACAAAAGGGAATGTGCCAGTCAAACCTTATATCAGAACTACGGTTCGCTATTCTAATCGGTGTTTCAGTGTCATGAAGTCTACTCTTTTCTGCTATACTTAATAGTGTTAAATACGGTATGTTTTTCATCAAACAGTGTTAATTATAGTTAGCAACCTCAATGTATGTTTCCATTATCCGGTACCATGCGAGCCCATTCTGTAATTGCGTTCTTTTCAGCATTAACTTGATGAGTTTATTAGCAGTACGTTTCAGACGTATGCACGATACACACTCTTGTGCCACCATTCCCCCGGCAAATTTCGTAGATAGCGTCGAATCGCCGAACCGTTTCGAAAGCCACCGTCAACGCTATAACAGCTGAGCCGTGTAAGGACAACAGTGACGGCTAGAGTAGCCTGGCTAAGCGAGCCAATGAATGAACCACAGTCATTGCCTCTGCAGCTGTTGCCGCCGTCGCGAGATCAGAGGAATTACCCGCCAAAGCAAAGCGGCCCAGTCTGAATTTTGCCCGACTGCCTTCTTCAGTTCGCCCCCTTACACCACACCAGCAACAGCAGACGTCGAGCGATGGCGGATTCAGGAACAACAGCGGCTGCACCATACCAATACTATCAGAAGCAGCAGCGGTGCCGATAGGAGCAATGGCTACAAAGGCAAACGTCTTTGCTTGCCGGCGTTTCGATATTTAGACTTTCACGTTGTCAGGGAGTACGAGGTAGCCAGACATTAACATGGATAGATTTGTGACACCAGCAGCAGTACGCGTAGAAAGGTGGGGCAATTCGGTCTCTGTAAAACTCACCACTAGCGGATTGCCCATTGGATGAGACAGTACGTATTCACAGGCCATGCGCGTGCGATTTATAGGCCCGCGGGCTCTAGCCGATGGTCGACAAGCAACAACTGCGGTTGATGATAACCGGAGATGCGGGATGCGGAATGGCTATTACTACGCTGTAACTGCTGTTGGGGCTACTGCTGCTGCTACCTATGAGCTTCCCATTGTTGATTAATTGATGGATGAATGGGACAATGGGAAAAAAGAAAAAGGCAAAGGAAGTAAAAGAAGAAGATAGGTCGACGAATTCCTGAACGTGAAATAACTGCTTTATTAGGGCTATTTAGATACAGGCAGACACGACCTGGCTTAACTAACTGGGGAAAAGCGTATCTACCAGAAGGGGCTGCTGTAATTGAATAGGAAAGAAAAAAATTCAACAAAAAAAATAATAGCAACAGGTATTATTATGATACTATTATTACCAGCAACAAATGCAATGACAACGACGACGACGACAACGAGCTATAGATTACGGAACATGTCCTTACCGTAGTCGAAGTCCCGCGCACAAGGCGCCTAGTAGGCTGCTACTACAGGTACTCACCATGATCGCTATGATCTTTATCTGGGTGGAAAGGCTACTGCCCTGCCACATGTATTATATAATATGATCTAATAAAAATTTGGCGAAGAAGTGCGTCTAGGATCGAAAGCAAAGTAGAGACTGAAGTACGACGGTCAATAACGTGCGTTAAGGTACGGCTCATTTTGCCTATTAAAGAAAGGACCCGTGTTTTCACTAAGCCGTAGGACGAACGCAATCTATTACAATAAAATTTTTATACTACCAAACAAAGTATCAAAGATCGCGACAACCTCTACAATGAACCGGTTTATTCTTAGCCCCTTGTGCTGGGGTCGCTAAGCGCCAGAATTTAATTTTATCAATATCGCACGAAATCAAGATGGTCTCATTTACTTCAGCAGAGAAGTATCGGCCCCATTGTTAACGCTGTTCCCGTCACAGCTGTCCTTGACGCTGACTGTCTGTGACATCGCCGAGCACGCCACTGACTCGATATCGCTAGCAGCGAAATTCTATAGCGCCTTGAGTGATGTCCGCAGCGTAGTAATCCATATTGTATACCGTATAG